TTGCTATTATGTTGGAGGCCATAGCTACTAGGTTGCAGGCCATTGCTATACTAGGTTGGCGGCCATTGCTATGAGGTTGGAGGCCATCGCTATTAGGTGGAGGCCATCGCTACTAGGTTGGAGGCCATCGCTATTATTAGGGTGGAGGCGGGATCGCTACGAGGTTGGAGGCCATTGCTACTAGGTTGCCATTGCTATTAGGTTGGAGGACATAGCTACTAGCTTGGAATCTATCTCTTTTAGGTTGGATGCCATCGCTAGTGGGTTGGAGGCCGTCGCTAGTGGGTTGGAAGCCAGGTTGGATGCCATCGCTACTAGGTTGGAGGCCATTGCTATTAGGGTGGAGGCCGTTGGTTAGCAGGTGCGTCATCACATGCCACCAACTCAGCAGCCTAAAAACTGGTGGCCAAAGTCCCAACGAGGCTTCGCAAAGCTGGAGAAGAAGTTCCCAGACACTTTGGCCGAGTTGACAAGTTTGCATATTTGAAGAGAAAACATGAGAAAACACCATTTGTGTGTTTACTATGTTTTCAAAGCTTGATAGAGGGAAACTATGCTTTTCTGGCCAAATTTTTGAAATGTTGTCAGTTTTGCTTGCTGTTCTTTGAGCTTCGCAATTCTGCATCCTCTTGGAATGAGATTTTCTCTGCTTTTGCGGTATTGGCTTGAACACATTTTGTGCAGTTGTATCCGGCTGGACTCATAAGGCCAAGTGCACAATTTTTTCGTGTTTTCGACTCACCCCCGAGGTATTTTTTCTCACCGGTTGAGAGCTTCAAACGCACATAGTCAGACATAGAGTTTCGATCTGAGCCAACTTCACTAACTCCCAGAAGGCTATAAGTTCGCCATTCTGAAGAACATCAAAGCCAAAAGGTACCGAAAGAAATCCAAAGAGCTGAGTATGTTCTCTTTTTGGATTGCAGATTTCTTGCTGAAAGTTTCAACGAGTCTTGGGACGAGGAACTTCTCACTTACACCAAGACCGAGCTCGAGCTTTTAGTGGCCAAGCAGGCGATGGTGAGTCTTCAGAGTGCTTAGGCCCTAGGTAGTTTCTTGTTCCTAGTAGTACGGCCAGGAGCTACTAGTAGCGTTCTTGCTCCTAGTAGCCATGCCCTTTGTTCCTAGTAGCTGCTTAGGCCAAACCCCAAGAACTAAATGCGCGGTTTCAGGCAATTGCTAATTTGTCGGCGAAACGTAGACTTTGGCAAGACGACGTGTGGCTGTGTTTCAGCACACTGAGACTTTTCGTGTGCCGAGACCCACTGAGCTTCGGATGTCAGGAAGCGGACGACATTCAAGAGCTCTCGGCTGAGGGCCGCTTCTTGAGATTGCAGGACTCCTGAAGAAACATCCGATGTCCCACATGTCCATGGTGTTTTCCGTCTTTATTTTCTTTCTTGATCTTCTTATGTAAACCTTTCTTTCTTTCTTTCTTTCTAGTCGTGTCTGACCTGATACACGCGGTTTGAAGCTTCTATTGAACGACATGTCGTAGTAAGGTAAGAATTGTTGGTTTGGCACTAGATGGATCTCACAAGTTTGCTCTTTGGAGGAAGGACCAGGTTCTGAGGAGGTTTTCACGTGCAAATCAGAGTCCGTGAAAAGAGTTTTGTTTTCAAGACGGACCCGGAAAACTTTAGGAAGCTCTGCACGATCTGAAAGCCAAATGCCATCAGGATGCGGCGGATGCGGCGAAGCTCCTGGTACCTCGTTTGGAGAAGAGCATCCTCGAAGAGGTGGAGGCGACCAGAACTGGTTCGGATGGAGGAAGTTAGGTCTTTCTAAACTCTGTTTGCACACGGGCTTTTTCAGATTTCTGAAGCGTTTGTTACATACAGTTTGGTGACCTGCAGGTTGATGAGCCCAGGATGAATTGATTGTCCAATTTTTGTTCAATGGTTTATTATGGTTGTCTGAGGTAGAAGTTGGCCACGCATGCAAGACTTTCTGCTTGGGTAGTAGCGTCCCTCAAATGCTTGTTTGTTTTCTGGAAGGGATACCCAAAACTATCTCTGCGGGAAACCCGAAGTGCAGGACATCAGCATGGCTTTAGCTGCTGAACGTTCCTTCGTGATGGCTGTGAAGGAAGCAAAAGACATCATTGCAGGAGACATGCTCAACCGTTGGGTCGAAGATCATATAGAACGAGAAGAGCGAGTTTGAGAGGTAAAGTGTGCTAGCTACGAAAGGCACTGGATAGGTTGAAACACTAGCCTCTTGATCTTAGCGTCTTCCAAATATTCCAGACCTGAGTCACCTCGGACGTGAACTTTGGGGAAGAGGTGGAAGAACTAATCTCTTCACTTTGGAGTTCGAGCAAATTCTAGCATTATGGCACTGACATCATCCCTGTCAACGACAGAAGCTACTGTTGCTTGTTTTCAGCTTGGTTCGATTGGTGTTCAGGACTGCCGATGTCTCCAGAGGATGTGCACATTCGAGTGCTTCGTTTGGGTCATGCGATCCAGGCAGGGTTCCGAGTTGGCATCTTAGGGCTCAGGGCGTGTCCAAGTATCCTTCCAAACACGTGGACACACACACACACACCGAAAGTGGGGCAAGTCAGACATGCTTTCTCTACAAGTGGATTTCTATCAGCCCTTACCTTGCTTTAAATGGCGAGAGTGGCCCCGCCGACCAGAAGACGTGAGGGAACCGTGCCCACAGAAACATCCATTTCATGTGCCCCATTTGGGGCATCATTTCAAGCTGAAAGTGCATACAAAGTTGGTGTACGTTGGATTTGTCATTTAATTCGCGTTCTTGGTCCATGTCATGTATTTCCTGCGGAACAGCGAAACAGCGGAACCATTGTTAATCGGTTGACTCCTTGAGTCATTGAGAAGGACTGCAAATGCAAAGTATTTGGTGAGGGTCAAGTGGGGACTGTTCTGCGATGTGGTTTGCAACGGATGGAGCTTCAGAACGGCCAGGCTTGCCAAATGTCGGCACAGGAAGAAGCCAAGAGACTTGACTTGAAACCATGAAGGACCTGTCCCTCTGTTTTGGCACACACTGGTGCCGCAAGCTGCTAGGATCTATAGAATCGACCTTTTTCTGCCTGCATGCCCCACCCATCCACCCGGTGCTATGGGGCGAGAACACCTGGACACTTGAATCCACAGCATACGATCAAAGCCTGGCTATTGGAGTGTTTTGAGTTGATATAGGACCTTTTCGGAATATCAAAGCATTGATACATTTAAATGATATTGGAGTGTTTTGATTGGCCTTGCCTTGAAATGTTGCTCCAACGCATCTGGCCATTTGCTGTCACGCAGTGTTTGCGGGATATTCTCAGTGAGCCTGAGAGCCATGGAGGCACCGCAGGCCTTGGAGGAGGTCATTGAGCGCATTTCCGAGCGCATTTGGAGTCAGGTGAGGTGAACGTGAGGTGAACATGAACAAAGGGCAGTGCTACTACTCTAGGAGCAAGGACGCTACGAAGTAGGGGCTCGTGGCCTTACTAGTAACAAGGACGCTACTAGGAACAAAGGGCTAGTGGCGCTCAGGTGGGCAAGAACCAACCGATTCCCTTCATCGTTGGTGGCTCCTACGGTGCTGCGGTGGAAGCATTTCGACGGACGAATGGAGCCAAGTGCTTGGCTTACAACGACATTGACGTGTGGTACAAGTCCTTGGATGACGAGGATGATGGAAAAGATGAAATCTTGCAGGTCCACTACGAGAGGGATGTGTTCCCAGATCATCCTGACATGGAAGTGAATGTGATTCGCTTGGGGAAACTCCAGTTGCGAGCTTTGATTGAAGACTTCGACACGAACAATGTGCAGGTGGGCTACAAGGTGGTTCCTCGAATCGAAGATGGCAGGCTTGTGGCCGAGGTCGCAGATACGTATGTTTCTGCGGCATTTGAGGACTTTCTGCAAACTTGGACTATCCGGATTGTGAACCCCATGTCAGGCAAGACTCGTGCAACTACTTTGATCCGGCTTCTCTATAAGGCGCAGCAGCTAGACTTGCCCTATGACCTGCCGCCTGAGAAGGAGGGCAATCACATTTGCTTGATCCCAACACATGGTCCCCAAACTGGTAACAAGTGCCACGCTAGTAGTAACAAGTGCCTTACTAGTAGTAACAAGGGCATCGCTATTAGAAACAAGTGCCTTACTAGTAGCTATCAATTTAATTTAGACCTAATTGAATAGATCCTTCGCTCGCTTTCTTCGGCCCCTGAGGATCTCTTGCACATATTTCATGGCCGTTGGTTCGCACCAAAGAATCATGACAAACTCCAGCGACTCCAAGGGCCATATCGAAACGAGATCTTCTCTCGCTTTGAGGTGGTCAAAGGAGCTTGGCACAGACGGAACAAAGACCACTGTCCCTATGAGGGAACGATCGAGAAGACCAGGAAGACGATGTATCGCCTGCTTCGCAAGGAGAGTGACGATGGCTCACGGATCCTCCGGTCGCGCGACCTGCATGACGCGGCGCTGGATCGCTACTTCGACGTCGAAGCGTTCGTTACTCGGTACGATCTTCAAAGTCCAAGATCTCAAGCCACAACAGCCGTCGATGACGAGTGGGACGAGTGGGAAGTGATTTCAGATTGTGACGATTTGGCTTGGTATAGCTGCTAGCTAGAATATGCTAGATTGCTAGAATTGAAGCCTGGACAAAGTCCTAATTCAGTTAGAGCCTCTGTGGAAATCGAGGTGTACCATATGGAGTTGTTTAATGGGGGGCTGCAACACTTGATGTGCTTAGCATGGTCGGAGAAAAGACAGAGGGAGTCAGGAGAAGAAAGAGCCCCCGTTAAATTGGGGGGGCGCTTCAATCCGCGCGAAGGAAACTCCACAAGTGTTTACTAAGCAGTGGCCATCAGTGGCCCCTATTTGCGAGTGCTGAGCTGGTCGGAATTAGAGATCACGTCAGGACACTACTAGGGGCTCCTGGCATCGCTACTAGGAGCAAGGACGCTACTAGGGGCTCCTGGCCGTGCTACTAGTAACAAGAAGCTACTAGGGGCTACTTGGCATCGCTATTCTTGTTCAGCTGGCACAAAGTGCTTAAACTGTGAAATGACGTGACATCAGGAAAGGCCTTCCCGAAGCCTACGAATTGCAGGGCCTACTGGAAGAGGAAGCTGAAAGGCAGGGAAACCTCCTGGATACGGTGAGGCTCCAATTCACTGGTGGAAGCCGAACCAGTTCCTAGTAGCCCCTAGTAGCTTCTTGTTACTAGTAGTACGGCCAGGAGCCCCGAAGTAGCGTCCTTGCCCCTAGTAGCGATGCCAGGAGCCCCTAGTAGCGTTCTTGTTTCTATTTTAATTCTTGTTTCTAATTTCAAACATTGTTACTACTAGTAAGGCACTTGTTACTAGTAGCGATGCACTTGTTCCTAGTAGCGATGCCCTTTGCCCCGTTCGTAGCGTCCTGAGGTGATCTCTAAATTTCTCGGACGACGCGAGCAGGGGAAGTCAAGCTATACGATTTCGAATGTCCCTCGCAGCGGATCTACAAATAATCCAAACCATTTGTTTGCATACAAAAACTACCATCTCCACATTCAACTTCACGGGACTTCCGAACACAGAGTTTTGGCATGCTCTAACCCACTACCATCTCCAAACTTGGATTCGAGACACCAGTAGCATCCTTGTTACTGGTAGCTACTTACTCCCAATAGTACGGCCAGGAGCTCCTAGTAGCGTCCTTGCTCCGAGTAGCGATGCCAGGAGCCCCTAGTAGCATTCTTGCTCCTAGTATATAGCGATGCCCTTTGCTCCAACATTTGAGCCATGATAAATTTCCCTTCCAAACCTGTGCTTATTCACCTCAGATCCCCTCCAGTCCACTCACGAATCCATAGATCGGTTTGATCTCAAATAAATTTGAAGAAGCACAGCTATCCTGCGCCCTGTCGTCCTAATAGCCAGGAACGAACAATCTTGTCCTTTAATCAAGTAGGGCCACCGAGCTTTGAAAAGAGCCCGTTACCCGTTGGATCCTTCCGTGTGCTTTCAAGGCGCCAAACAGCCCTTGACTCAGCCCTGGCCTTGGCGGCCGAGCGCGGGACGCCTCTGAAGGATCTCTTGATCTCCATCACTGCCGCACGTCAGGCCATCCATGGATCGCGTGAAAGACTGGATAGTAGCGTTTTTGTTCCTAGTAGCTTCTTGTTACTACTAGTAAGGCACTTGTTACTAGAAACGATGCACTTGTTCCTAGTGGTTTCTTGTTCCTAGTAGTACGGCCAGGAGCCCTAGTAGCGTCCTTGCTCCTAGTAGCGATGCCATTTGCTCCGTTCGTAGCTTCTTGTTACTCATGTCCAAATGAGATGGCAAGGCACCTGAGAATTTAAGGATGTCCAGTTGCCGAGAGCCCTTTTGAGAGCCCTTTTGAATTTAAAGTTTCCCAATCTAGGAACCAAATCATTAGCGCGAGCTATCCTGCATCCATATGTAGGAGCGTCCTGTACCTACTAGCTACCTCAGTTCCTCACTTAATGAAGTAAGCGCCTACTTAATCAAGTAGGGAGGGGTGAGAGTGGGAAAAGAACGCCTTTATGTTTTGCGAAGTGCGGGCAAAATCTGGAGGCTAGTGTCACGCCAGATCTCTTGGAGGCGCTGTTCTCGTCGCTGTCGCATCCCAGTGCACTAGTAGCGTCCTTGCTCCTAGTAGCGATGCACCTTGTCACTAGTAGCTTCTTGTTACTGGTAGTAATGCCGGGAGCTACTAGTAGCGTTTTTGCTACCAGTTTCGGGTCCGGACGCAGAGTGTGTCTCCGCGTTCGTTCCATGGATTGTTGGCCAGCTTAGTTGCGAGCCTCTACCTCTGTGGTCCTGTAAACATTTAACGTGTTGTTACAGGTGAATTAACAGCGATTGCCTCCAACCTACTAGCTTCTTGCTACTAGTAGCGATGGCCTCCACCTTAGTAGCGATGGCCTCCAACCTAATAGAGCGAATTAGATGCCAAAGATGATTTGATCTTGACCCACAGAGGAGCCCTATGCTCGTCTGCGGAAGAAGAAGTTGGACTTCGTCACCTCAGCGTTGAGGCGCAACAAGAGAGACGGCTGAAGAAGAAGGCGTCGTCACCATTGCCGGCGTTAAGACACCGGTAAAGTCACATCAATCATGAATTAGAGATTTCTATTGGTAAATTTGAAGACACATTCAACATTTGTTGGGATTGCGCATGAATTGCCAACCATACTTGCCATCCATTGTTTGACATATATGTTTGTCAGTTCTGGTCTCAACGAACTCACTTTGAGTGGTACCACGATAGTGGGAGACATGCTCGGGGCATTCATTCAGCCCAAAGTGACCTACAGCCCTAGGTGTAAGGCACCTTGTTCCTAGTAGCCATGCCAGGAGCCCCTAGTAGCGTTCTTGCTCCTAGTAGTAAGGCCAGGAGCCCCCAGTAGTGTCCTTGTTCCTAGTAGCGATGCCCTTGTTACTAGTAGCGTCCTCTTGTTCCTAGTAGCAATGCCAGGAGCTACTAGTACCGTCCTTGTTCCTAATTAGTAGCGATGCCCTTTGCTCCTAGTAGCGTCCTTGCTCCTAGTGGTCCAAAATCGACATCAGACTCATCAAAGTACCCTTTGTCTCGCAGGAATGCTTGCTCCAATGGATGGTATGCCTTGGCCTATGCTCTCTACCACCGAGGTTGGAGCCATTTGTAGCGTTCCTTTTCAGTCGGTTTTTGCACAGAACTGTCACGTGCTTGACTGGCCTTGGATATGGTGCACTGATTTCCCCGACAGATTGGGCTTTGACCCGCGGAAAAGCTGCCAGGACTGGCCCTGAAAGCTGGGGAAGAGCGGAATGGTGGCGAGTGGCGCAGTGGAGCCATTGAGGTGACGGGGAGAGTGATCCAGGTGAAGTGATGGAGGGACATTCTAAGGGCTGAACCCTGTAACAAGGGCATTACTGATAACAACCATTGCTGGTGCTTGAATCTAACTGGTGCTTGATCCGAGTGATCTAAGAGTTTTCCTTTGCGGAGATGTCTGCGTCGAGCCGATGGTAGGCGGAGATCAATCGACTTCGGACGGATGTGACCATTCTCAAAGGAGAGTTCCTTGGCTGCTCAAGGATCTCAATGTATTTGATGTCCAACATGTCAGAATCCGCAATGGGCATCAAAGAACAATAACATGTGAAGTGGATATTGTTGGCTGTTGCAGTTTTGCTCAAGAGCAGAATACGGACCCTGGCAGCCAGGCAAAAGCTGAAAGCAGGTTTCAGCCGCAGCCGAAGGTAAGAATCGAAATATCCTCGAGGCCACGGCCATTAGGTTGGAGGCCATCGCTATTAGATTGGAGGCCAGCGCTATCAGGTTGGAGGCCATCGCTATGAGGTTGCAGGCCATCGCTATTAGACTGGAGGCCCGCGTATTAGGTTGGAGCACCATCTGGCATGTCCTGAACTCCGTGATCCTCAATTCCATGATGTTGCCGGCAACTAACGATGAGCTTCTACAGTTTGTTCCAAGCGTTGGTTACCCACGAATTCATTCTTTCCTAGACTTTGGCCATGTAAATGTCTCAAGGAAATCACAGCTGCACTGTCCAAATCACCCCGCACTGTCCAAATGTAGACCAGTCCTGCTTTGCAGGGGGTGCTGGCACTGAGGTTCCTCATCGAGACCAGCGGCGGCGCCTTTGGTACCAGCACCTGGCGAAAGAACCCCTGCAGCTTTGTTTGCACTCCAAGATCTTTGAGCACGGAAAGATATATTTTCTTTCAAGACCAATAAGTTTGACTTTTGGACCAGTTTAGCGTGCATAATTGCTATGTCGGAGCAAGGAAGCTACTACTGGTAGGGGCTCCTGGCCTTACTACTAGGAGCAAGGAGGCTACTAGGAGCGTGCATATTTGCTTTGTATGGCTAAGTTTAGCACTTGATCAAAGCACCCAAGCTGCTTCCATCCAGGTTACCTGATCCGATGCAACGCACCGGTGCGCGCGGAGTCGAAGGAGAACCGACAGACCCGGAAGACCTTTAGCTCCAAAAGCCGCTTTGGAGAGAAAGATCGACAGCTGGAAGACTCCAAACAGAGGTAGTAACAAGAAGCTACTAGAAACAAGTGCATCGCTTCTAGTAACAAGTGCCTTACTAGTAGTAACAAGAAGCTACTAGAAACAAGCGCATCGCTTCTAGTAACAAGTGCCTTACTAGTAGTAACAAGAAGCTACTAGAAACAAGTGCATCGCTTCTAGTAACAAATGCCTTACTAGTAGTAACAAGAAGCTACTAGAAACAAGTGCATCGCTTCTAGTAACAAGTGCCTTACTAGTAGTAACAAGAAGCTACTAGAAACAAGTGCATCGCTACTTGCAACAAGTGCCTTACTAGTAGTAACAAGAAGCTACTAGAAACAAGTGCATCGCTACTAGCAACAAGTGCCTTACTAGTAGTAACAAGAACCTACTAGAAACAAGTGCATCGCTACTAGTAACAAGTGCCTTACTAGTAGTAACAAGAAGCTACTAGAAACAAGTGCATCGCTACTAGTAACAAGTGCCTTACTAGTAGTAACAAGAAGCTACTAGAAACAAGTGCATCGCTACTAGTAACAAGTGCCTTACTAGTAGTAACAAGAAGCTTCTAGAAACAAGTGCATCGCTTCTAGTAACGAGTGCCTTACTAGTAGTAACAAGAAGCTACTAGACTACTCTCTAACTTAGAAGCAATGGACTCCAACCTAGTAGCGTCCGTGCTCCTAGTAGGAAGGCCAGGAGCCCCTAGTAGCGTCCTCGAACCTACTTGCGATGGCCTCCCACAAAGATTAAATTAGAATAAGATGGGTAAGACTATGAAGTGTCCCAAGGTCTTCAATATGAGGGAAAAAAAGAGGGTGCCATTTCATGCCGGAATGGTTTTATGGGTTCAGTCCAGTCTTTTGAAATCAGCGGTGCCTGGGCTTACGTCGTAGGTGGTTTTTCCTCACCCCGCTAGGCTGGGTATGGATGTGAGAATATGTATATATAACACGACGTTCCATAGATTTCTGGTTGCACAAGATGAACTTCATGGCAAGGGACTTTCAACTAAGCCTTTGAAGCAAGGCTAGATGTTTTGCAAACCTGAGGTTGTTTGGCTCTGCCTAGATTACCTTGCATGAATCAACAGGATTTTGTTTGCACACCAGAAAATCGTTGAGTCACAGTGGCCTCTTTGAAAGTATTAAACATGTCCGGGCAGTCGAGAGTACAAACTTGAGGTTCTTAACAAATGACAAGGACGCCTGAAGGTTCAGATGACATGGTTAAGGTTCAGATGACCCCACGATATTCTGTAGAACTTTGCCCAAATTTTCCTTTGATTCTGTGATTCTGTGCTTTTTGAGACCTGCAAGAGCCGGGCTTGTGCAAATTACCCAATGCTTTGCTCTGTGGTCTATCAAAGCTAGTAGTAACAAGTGCCACGCTAGTGGCAACAAGTGCCTTACTAGTAGTAACAAGTGCCTTACTAATAGTAACAAGAAGCTAGTAGAAACAAATGGTCTATCAAAGCTTCGGCATGTCGGACCGAAGCCAAGGCAGCAACACTGGAGTTCGAGTGCCACTTGGACATCAATCAGCAGAAGTAAAACAGATGCAAGGACGCTACGAACGGGGCTCCTGGCCTTACTAGGAACAAGAAGCTACTAGGAGCAAAGGGCATCGCTACTAGGCCTGACCAGCTGGATCCAGCGAGGCATTGGCTAGATAGGCATTGGATGTTTGTGAACGTTTGTACTGGATCGGAACTGTCAAACGTCCTTTTACCAATGGTCATTGTTGAAAATAAAACCGCTAGCCAACCTATGTGTTTGTGGAATAGGCATAGGTTTGTAGGTGTTTGGTTCAAGATGAAGATCGGTTGCGAACCTTCTGAAACGAACCCTTGGCTAGTGGCGGCTAGTGTGTTCAGACTTGAGATGGTGATACTTTGACTCTTTGGCCTCCACATCAATAATTCGTTTGTGTGTGGATGTGTCTGATCTCATTTATCGAGATTCTAACAAGTTGCGAATTATTCTCCTACCATGACAAGTAATTAATTCTCATGTTGCCATTGCTTGCCTCAGCGCCAGCTGCAGGTCAATTGCTTTGGCAGAAGCAGGGGACTTTCCTGCGACCATGGCATTGCATGTGGTGAAGAACAACAAGGAGATGTGTGTGCGAATTAAACACAACAAGTTGCACGATGGCCATCGCTATACGATTGAGTTCATCCTTCACCAACTCCGAAATGGTTCTTCTTTTGTTCGTCCTGGAGCTCTTAGTAGCGTCCTTGCTCGTAGTAAGGACGTGCACGAAGCCGGGGCCGCTCACATGCTGCTGCCGGGCTTTGATGTGGTGGCCGCCTCGCATGACCCGAGCGCGGCCGCGCACGCGGGGGG